TAAGATCTTAACGGTTACAGACTGAAAGGCATTGAGTCTCTGATATCATTAAAAGTGCTATTGAATAACTGTCTCGTTCTTATAATGAGTCCAAGGAGGATTTCTAGTAGTGGACAACATAATCGTGTAATACTTTAAATTTCCAGCCTTATAAATATATGCATAGACCAAGGTCTTTAGATGCTACAGAGCAATCTGTAGGGTAATCAACTACTTCCTATTTGATTCGAGAGGCAAACTAATGAACGAGTACATTCATTCTCATTTAACTTACTAATATTAACTGAAGTCCTGCCTCACTTGAGGTTCACACTTGAGATAACTTGAAAATCATACAAGCTTTCACGCTAAAAAACGGAGACACATTCAAAAACCCATTTGATCTTCGATCCCCCCCCCCTCCCCCCCCAAATGAAGCTGAAATAAGAAAGGGATTTTTTATCACTTAAATGTCAAGAGCAAATCAAAAAGGAAAATAACCAAATTAATGCAATGTATGCATGATTCTATTAACACTGTAATCTCAAAAGTTGTTTCACTCAATAATTTGCCTGTAAACTCAGCTTCTTGGTGAGCAAATTAGAGGTGGATCACGTGCATACAAATATTGAAAGTAAAAATGGGAAGAATTGCTTAACAAACACGAAGGGCAATGAGTAAAATCATTCCTCTCAGTCAAGCACAAACAGCTCAACATGAAAGGAATTTACAACACCGAAAAGCAAAAAAAGGACTCTACTGCATACAACACATTTATTTGGCCGATTCGCAATTTCCATGTGAAATTTAAGCAAACAGTTTGAACTTAAAAGCAGTGTTAAACTCTCTGTTAGCGTACGAAACGATTTCCAAATCCAACTATGCTAATTGGAACTTTGCCCAAAACTAAGTGGAAGGTATTATAAACAAATGGTTAAAAATTATGGTGGGAATGCATTCCACCGCGGATCCATCAAAATTTGTCATACAAGGTTGAGACAGTCAATAGCGGAGTTACATTTCATCCTTAATATTTCGGAATAAACGTAACAGTAGAATTAGTCAGTAAATTACTCCAAATTCGAGTCCTAGATCTCCTCCTCCTCCTGCTCACCTCAATGAAATGAATTCACTAGTAAAAGTACTAACAGAGCAAACCTCTTTCTAAGATTTGTATTTCTGAAATCAGTGACTCCAAAGCATGTGATTTCAGCTAAATTAATTCGATCATTATTGCAAATTTCTGGTTTTCTTTTACTGGAAAAAGTAACCTCTTAAACTAACACCAATACGGTGGAAAAAAAGTAATGCATTCACAAGTTAACCTCGCCAAGATGTGCCATACACTCCCATAGAGACGATAATGTATTTCAAAACACTAATTAAAACGGTGGTTCATTAGGCAAATGGGATTGAAGGAGGGGCGGTAGGTAAAATCTTACAAATACCCAAGTAGATAATAAAAAAATTTCCTGATAAAAGTATGGAGAGCGCTAATTCCCCAAAGACCAATTTGAGTCAAGCTCACTCTTGTTTAAAGATGGAAATGTGCCACAAATGCCTAGAAGGAATCTAAGCAATACCTGTTCTAAATGCTTGCATTACACGCCTAACGTAAGAAACCAACACTTATATACTTCAAAATGCGAATTCAAATGTGAGATTACTAATCAAACACAGGAAGTAGATCATCGAAGCGCATAATTAATTAATTAGTAATTTTCCATATCTACTTTCCCATTATTGGAGGAGATTCTTGAAATGAATATCAAAAAAGGTATGATTAAAAATACTTAGTGCTCCATGTTACAATTTTGCTTTGAGCCGAGACAGTCGCAACGGTCCGAAGAAAAAGGCAAAATTGTAAGAAATCTTATAGACCGCAAATGATGACATTTCATGAACGCAGGATGTTAATTGTGAACTCTTTTACTTAATGGTTACTTCCCAATCGTTAGATGTAATATAATCCTAATAATGTCTCTGAGAGCTAATGAATTGCCCATTTTTTTTAAACACCTAAGTCCAATTCAGAGGCAATGTGGAAGAGTAAGGACCAAAGATCTAATAAACAATTATAAAAAGTAGCCAGAGGTGGTCAAGTTAAAGTGGCACTCGAGGGAATTCACTGACGATTATTTCGTATTTACGCAATACCACTATTGCTATCAGTAATAATTTTAGCCCAAGTAGAGGATTCCCCCCCCCCTCCTCCTCCTCCCCCCCC